GAATAATTAGTCCTTAATCTATTGTTTTTCTCAAACAAGTTTCCACTGTATTAAGTTTCCTTAAATAGCCTTTTTGTAACACCATCTACAAGAAAGCCTTTGGAAAGTAGGGATAAGTTGCTAAACCCCCTAATTCTCATTATTTCAAGTACTGTCTAATCCAATTATTCCACCCATTCCGTATCATCAAGAATTCCCACAGCCTGTGGTGAAGTTATGCATCACTGCAAAATGTTATTGTTGCCATTTCATCATATCACAGACACATCTTCACAGCCCTAGTTTCGCCAGCGCTGCAATATAGTCTTTTCTATGAAACAATTTATTTTCTAGGATGTGGCTGCTTATTCTTTGACTATCTGTATATATTCGTAAGTATTTTGAGCGCATATACTAAATTATCGAGTTTCACCCCTCGCGGCTCCTTATCAGCCTAGCTTCCAAACCCAGCTCAGTCACAACTGTAAAACACAACCAGAGCTGGATGCTTCATTTCTAACAATGATAGCTGATGCTGTCCAACGCCATTCATCCCATGCCCTTCTCCACAAACCCTGCTTGGGGCAATGAGCTTGCTGAAGGAAAGAATAACTCACCTTTGTACATAAATAAATAAATAAGTGATTGGGTTTGTTTCCTTGCCCTGGGTGAGTGCAAATTCAGACCAGCCTTTTCTTAACTTGGCCCACACCAGCAGGGAGACCCCCCCCCCGTCACCGAGCCGCCGCAGAGCGGCGAGGAGGGGGAACTTACCCCACGCAAAGCCAGACGCTCCCACGGAGATCCGATCCACGGCGGCTTGCCCCCGGGAACGGGCGGCGTGCCGTAGCACTCCCGTACTTGCCGAAAGCCCAAGCTCCTGGTGCCAGGAGCCGCTGCTTTGCATGAAAGCAAGGAGCTGCCAACCGGCGCCGCGCCGGCCCGGCAGCTTGTCCTCAGGACTGGCTGGTGCCCCAGGTCTCGCTACGCTCCTTCCCAAGGAATTGAGTGGGCGAAGGAGCTACTCCCCCCGCTGCTAGAGCAATCTGCTCTTTACCGACGTCCCCGTGCTCAAGTTTATGGCTGCCTCTAAGATCAGATCAAACCATACCGATGACAGCTGATGGTGACGCGCGGCAGCTCGCCAAGATTCGTGCTGCTTTTCTACGCGATGACGGAATCAGGGGACAATCACGTTTTTACCACCTGGACGTCTATGTTCTCAGGTAGCACGAGGCACCCTTACCCAAACCACTTTAAAAGAGCCCGCGTCACACCATTCCAGCTGCCTGATTTAGTTCTGGAATGGCCCCACGACTCCCTGCTCTTTCCACTCTCGTCCAATTTAAGCACTGCAAGGACAGCACTTGAATTAAAGGCATTCAGCGGGTCTCCATGACCTGCTCCTCCCTCTCCTCTCTCCATCCTTCTTAATTAGCCCTGCCACACTGAACACGGGCCGGCCTTCTGGGCCTGAAGACATATGTGCCTACATATTCCCCATCAAGCCATTAACTGATCCTCCTCTCCCCTGGAAATAGGTGGGGTTTTTATAATGGCTAGACTTAGGATCTCAAACAGCCCTTTCTTGGGTGGTATTTATTTAAACCTGGTATTTAACCCATGCCTGGGTTAAATGATCCTTAGCAAGATCTGTAACACCAATGTGTCATGCTCCTGGCAGTTTAGGTACCCTACATCTAAACCAGAGGAACATCAGATAATATGGTAGAAACAAGCTTAATGCAATTGTCTGCAGACCAGATAAAGCCTTTGTTCGTGACCCTATGCTAGCCACAGACACCCACAAGTCTACTTCCTGAATTTTCATTTATTTCTTTGGGCTTTATAGTATTTATCCAAAGTCAATGAAAGAAAACCTGCAGGAGCCCGCAGGAATCTACGGAAGAGTTCCACTCCATAGCAGCCTGAAAGCTTCAACAGCAATCTTGTGGTCCTGCCACAAGGTGTCTGTCATGTCTAAAATGCTCATGTACTCTGTGGCTTTGCACATTTGCACTCAGACAGTTTAGAGATTAAGCTTAATGACATGCCCAGCTGTTAGTTTGTTTTTTGTTTTGTTTTGTTTTGTTTTTTTTTTTTCATCTGCTGAGTCCACAGACATCTGTTCATCCTCAGAAAGGAGGTAAGGCAGCACAGGAAACTTCCATGACCTGACACAGAAAGGTACTTATGAAATCATGACAGGCAGTGGCCACAATGACCCCAAGAACAGGACACCATGCAAAACTCCAAAGAAAGAAAATAAGTAATTGTCTATAAATCAGTTTAAAACCAACCTCTGGCAACATATCAGCCAACTGTCCATACTCTAAAGTACTGGATGAGATTTTTCACACAAGTCAGCACAGACTTCATTTTGTGTCAGACATGACAAGTGATTTAAATCATAGCAAGGCTACAAAAAAATTATATATTTCCACACCACATATAGCAAACCTGTTGTTTCAGCTCTCAGGAGGAGACAGACAGGCGCTTACACAAAGGGCACAGCACCTGGAAGAGTTTAAGCAGAAGAGACTGAGCAAATGCAGTGATCTAGTCACCCACACCCATCTCTAACTCCAAGAAAAGCCAAATTCCTACCCCTGAGAGCACACGAGCTGCCAAAAGCACAGCTGATGACAGCAAGCGTGCGGCATACTCATAAATACCCCTTAGCACATGGTGTGTGCAGCTCTGTGGTTCCCATTTCCCTCCTAGTGCTGAATGCCACCGTCTCAAACAGATTGGAGCAAGCAGGTTTCCTAGTTCTGCTTTCCAGCTCCCTGAAATGCCAGTTCTGTTGCTAACTCAGAGGGATTTAACTCTTTATCTGTCTAATGGGCTCATATCCACACACCCCCCCCACCAAAGCTCTGCCTCCCGAGAACGCAGCGCGCTGTGCAGAGTCCACCCACCAACCCCCTGCCAGACACGAACAAGCATGACATCCCTTCTTGATTCCATTATAAATTACATCCAGTTTGCTCATGCAGGACGTCAGTACGGAAACTAGGGAGTGTATGTTAGAGGCAATTGTCCTGGGGTGAGTGAGTGGTGGGGTTTTTTGGTGGCAGGGGAGGGGGCTATCGGGGCGGCCCCCTGTGAGAAGCTTCTCGAAGCTCCCCCAGCTCCACGTCAGCTCCACCTCTGCACCAAAACTGAGCCCATCAGCTGCGCCTCTGCCAGAACGTATTTAAGAAGGGACGTGGTGACAGGCAGTGGGACTGGTGAGGAGGAGTCGCTGCAGCTGCATGAACACCAAGGTCAGTGGAGGAACGGAGGAAGAAAGGAGGGGGGAGGTGTGCCGGAGCAGAGACCCCCCTGTATCCTGTGGGGAGACGGCAGGGCGGCCCCCCCCTGCCACCCATGAAGATCTACGGTGGAGCAGACATTGATTTATGGCCTGTTACTCCTGCTCGATGATCAAGGTTCTGTGCCCGAAGAAGGCCGGGGTCTCATGGAAAAAGGCAGCCCCGCTGCTGTAGTTCAGCACTGGGAGGATTGCAGCATGCGGGGGAGTCCCACGCCGGAGCAGCTCGGGAAGGGCTGCAGCCGTGGGAGGGAATCCAGTCGGAGGAAGTTAGTGACCCATGATGGAGCAGTGTGGGGAACGCTGCGGCCCGTGGGAGGGATTCAAGTCGGAGAAAGTTTGTGGAGGACTGTCTGCTGTGAGAGGGGGACCACGATGGAGCAGGAGGAACAAGTTCTGGACACTCCCCTCACCGAAGATGAAGGAAGTGGCAGCACTGCCTGCACCCCCCATTCCCTGCCCCTGGGGGAGGAGGTAGAGATATCGGGAGCAGAGCTGAGCCCGGGAAGGAGGGAGGGGTGGGGGGAAGGTGTTCTCAAGATGTGGGAATGCTTCTCACTGTCCTACTCTGTTATGTGTTGTTAGTGTCTGTAATAAATGTATGTTCTTTTTTCCTTCCCCTAACGAGTCTGCCTCTTGCTTGTGACCATAAAAGGGGGATTTTCCCCCATCCCAGTCCTTTCTTTAACCCCAAGCCTGGCTCTCTGTCCCTTCTCATTGCCGGAGGGGAAGGGAGAGAGAGCTGCTGCATTGTGGTTGGCTGCCAATCAGGCCGAAACCACGACAGCAATTCATCCCACCCACTCTTCACCCCATCCCTGCCCCTCTAATGCTGGAAACTTTATTGGTTACCTAGACCCCAAAACCTGGGATCCCCTCCAGTCACCCCAGCACTAAAAGCACAGCGCTGCAACAGGCCACTCCACAATCCAGTCAATATGAATTGCATCAGTGAGGAAAGGCTTTCCATAAGTGTGCAAAAGAGCATAGGAGGGAAAAAAAAAGGAAAATTTGTAAATCTCTACAGCTGGTAAAATTGAAAAGCATGTCAGAGGGATCGTTTCATATTTTTAATCAGCCTGCAATTTAGAGATGCTATCTTTAACCCATGCTACCATGGAAACCATGCCATCAACAACTGGTTGCTAACTTTTTTTTTAGATCAATAGCTTGACACAAGCAAAAGTCCTCAAAAGGACCTAGTGGTTAATTAGGGAATATCAAAACTAAACATCAAAGAAAGCATTAGAGAATTTACTAAATCGGTGGTAATATGCCGTCTAGAGATTACAGAAGCCCACAGGAAAGAGAAGGAAGAAAAGTACCGGGGCAGGTAGATAAGGGCTCCAATGCTGCAACTTTTATGAGTGCACCCAGAAGTTAAAGAGAACAAATAAAGGTGGAAATGAAGTATAGAGGAAACTGTGACAGCATCCAATAATGCAGTGTGTTCTTTTCCAAAGGATTTTAGACATCAAACATAACAACTGATTGTGAATAATATTATAATCTTCTCTCCTACCACCTAAGCAAATCCTTACTTTTGAGCAGCCAAATCCCTGCTTGCTGTTCCACCCATAAAAGTGCTGCTTTTCAGAGCCGTTCACTTCTCCCTTGTACATCATTTATGTACTTACTCTCATGTTTCAAAAACCCAAGCACGCCTTTTTGTGCCTTAGCATAAAACAGAAGAATACGGCTGAGACCAGAATCTAAACAGTTTTTAATCTTTCTAGTTTCACGTTCTCTAGTAACAGAGTAGTCTGGCTATGACTATAACCAGATAATGAATTATTGAAGGAAAAGAAACATAAAAACCTCTTCTCCATAACTGAGAATTTTTTTTTTTCAACTATAAAATAATTATTTTTTTATGCTTTTTAGATCAGACATATTTAGGGGAAAACACATGCCTTTTCTCATTTAAATACAGATTAGCCTTTTGACATTGTGAAAGCAACAGCCATGAGCTCAGAAAGAGAACAACTAATAAAAAAAGTTCCCTTGAAATTCTAAAATCTGTCACGTGGTGTGCTTTTAAAAAAAATACGGTTTTAAATTAAAAGATTCACCCTTAGAAGCTTAGAAATTTCAGTTTCTACATGCTTTGCTGGGTATTTCCTAATGCTTTTCTTTAGGTAGACTTGACAATTTCCAAAACAGTAGACTGTGATAGAACTCCCTCAAATCTTTTGCACACATGCAATAAATTAGGTCTCATTTTTCTAACGTCTCTGCAATTGCTTACTTGAAATTCCAGAAGTGCAAGTAAAGCATAATCAAATGCTAGCTCTCCTCTGTCAAGGAAGAATAGTGTCCAAAAGTTAAGATTAAAATCAATTCAGACATAATGGATAAAAACGGGAATTTGGAAACACAGTCAAAAAAATGTCCAGAACCCAAGTAACAACACTGCTCTGTAAAGAAAGCAGAACACGTTACAGGACATTTGAGCAAAAAAAAACAGCTAAAATACCCCAAACCTCACTAAAAGCTTTCTTTTTTTGCAAACAGGTAAATAGCCATTTTTAACCACTACCAGGGGACTGAGGAAAAGATCCTGGTGGCGTCACAGGGCATGCACACTAAAAGCAAGGACTTCAAAGAAAAAGAGAAGGAGATGCCATACAAGGGGATTTGTCAGCTGAGTATTACTGACACAAAAAGCTAAGCACGGAGGATGTCCATGACTAGAATCAGCCAACACGGCCAGAGCCAGACTTTCCAACTGTGCTTCTGGGATGACAGAAGAGCAAACAAATATTAGAAGCTGGCTGAAAACTGGTGTGCAGGCATCACCCACCTCTCTCTGCAGAATGCAAGGTTAATTCCTAAGCAGGAAATTGGGTGAAACAGCAAAATCTTTCACTCGTATGGGGTCTTTCAAACAGAGTAAGGGAATTACTAGGAATTATTGTTTCAACAACATGAAGGTTTGAAGGATTTTTTTTCTCCCATATCTAGCTAATATTATCCAAAGTAAGTCTATGAAAAGCAGTAATTTCACTGAAGGTAACCACTGTATAAAAAGGAGAAAGAAAGCAACCACGTTAGATTTTTTTAAAAGCACAGAGTACAAGACATGCACATAGCTAAAAAGTAATGAACCAGTGCATACAAGTGCTGAACCTCCTGCTACAAGCATGCCTTTTAAAACTATTAGTATGCTATTCAGCTTTACTCTGCATAAGCAAGAAACAGTTAATAAAGACCATACACTGTCTCTGCATGCAATAAATACCATGGAATTTCAAATGAGAACCAGGCACAGTCAACTGGAAGTACAAATTACTTTTGTTAATAGTCATCCACCTATCACAAAACACATCCACTTGGAAAACCGTGTCATGTGGTAGTGGAGCTTATACAAACAACAGGTACAATACAAACATAATGTTCTCTAAAGGAAAACCTCCACTCAGTCAAACAAAAAAGAACATGCTAGGAGGCAGCAGAAAGTTTCCCAGTGTTGTATTTAAAAAAAAAAAAAAAAAAAAAGTATTTTTCCTGAAAACATTTTCTGTCTGTAATTTGGAATAAACTTTTGAGATGTCCTGTTCAAACAAGAACCCCGATATTCATTTTCGTATAAAGTAATTATTAGTTCACAGCTAAAAAAAACAGTTTCGAAACGTGAGCCACACAGTCGCACAGCTGGTGCCTTTACCTTGCAGAAACAGCCCTCAAACTTTAAGTTACCAACTGGATTTCAGAAAAAACACACACAACAGAGAAATTCCAATTAGTAAATCTTGTAATCATTCGGATAAATAGGTAAAACGGCTCAGATTGATTTTCTCTTTTCAGATGCAGGTGTACTGATGACAGAATTACAGAGGAACTTTCACAGAGAGGAGACAGGGCAAGTCACCCTGTGCAGAACACATTCCACATTTACTTCTCTAGAAATATACCCTTCTGTGTTATAATCTCCTGCTTTACAAGACATTAGCTATTAGACGTACGGTTTGTTTACAAAAAGCTATAGGAGGAGGAAGGCCAAGTCATTTCGGAGCACCTGTGAGACATCTCAACAATCCAATAGTTACAATTCATACATTACCCACTGTGATCACAATCCTACTTGAAGTGACAAGAGTTACCGCTAAAATCAGTAAGCATTTGGTCATTTAACAAAATAAATATTTTATGGTCTGCAGTAATCCATTTTGGTAAGTTAATCTTGTATTTTTTACATCAGCTTATTGTAACAGTCATGACTGTTTCCAAGGAGTTCTTAAGAACCATTAAGCAAGACAAATGCTTCTTAGCCTTTTTCAAAGGAAAAAAAAAAATAACTCATCCAACCTTTTCAATAATAACAACTGAGTCACACCACTCCACAATGCCCTGTAACCTATTCACAACTGCAAAATTAAATCAGCAATTATTTATAACAAAAAATAAACCCTTTTTACAGCATGAGATACGTTTTATGTATTTTCAAGTAAGATTGTTTACACAGGATGAATTTTACACTGTACATGTTTTTTGATGTTGAAGCATATACATACAGAGAAAAATACAGCCACAACAAATATACTTAAATACCTGTACCTTATTTACATTTTGAAGTATTTTACACAAGTCCAAAACCTCAGCATCACTTAGCTATACACATTTCAAACTGGAGTGTAGAATGCTTAGTTTTTTAACAACGGAATTTCAACATAAATGCAGCTGTCAGTTCTTTATTAACTCAATGGACTCAGATGTTAACTTTGTTCCATGCCGGCCATCAGTGACAAAGCTAATGATTCCACTGTGAACCAAACCAGAAAAGAGTAGTTACTATGTGCATTTGCAGCAGTCTGCTAATATTTATTGCAATATTCAATTCTGTAGTTTAAAAGGAAGATACCAGTTTATTTTTTAAATTGCAACACTGTAGGATTTAAGGTGGTAAGACATTTTGTGAATTTGACAGTTTAGAAAATATTTCACTACTTTCATCATGAAATATCAATTAGTTATTTCAGGTGGTAAGAACTGGTAAGAACTTAACTCCTTTGTTTGAAAAACTAACTGCTGTACACAAAAACAAAACAAAACAGAACAACGTTGTGGGGAGTTATATGCAGTAAGCCATTCTCACAGCTCTTGCAGACGGAGTAGAAGTAATGTCAGATATTACCTCTTAGAAACCCATTAGAACACGCAGCTACATCCCAGCTAACCCCATTGAGCAGTTGCCCCCCTAACTCAAACTGGCACCAATTAGCAATTTAAGCTAACACCAGGCTGTGAGTAGAAACACAGACATGTCATCTTCTGCTGTTTCTGCTACGGAGGAAGTAACTTCCAACAGATGGGCAGAGCCAAGAGCTTAGTGCAGTTACAGCTGAGGCACCATAATACTAAAATGTTATCTGTTCAAGATATCTGTCATCCAACAACAACAAAACCAATGTTCTTCTATGCCCTCCAGAATTTAGTTTCATTCATTTCTTTAGAAAACTGCTTATCACTTGCTTGGCTACGTCAGCATCCCCTCATCTAGAAAACAGGTAAACTTAAGGTAGCTGTCATAAAAAAAGCATGGCACAAATACTCTAAAAAAAAATAATGAAGTTAACTTATTAAAAAGTAAGGCTTCATGTCCCTCCGAATACCTCACAGAATGAAATTCTTTAAGATGTACTGAGAAACATTAAAGCAGATTAAAACATAAATATATTCCTAGTAAAGCTTGTATCCCAGTATACGCAGGTATGTGAAAAGCCTTGTGTACTTACAGTGAGGAAAAGAGCCTCGACAGACAGCTTTGTTGAGAACAGTTACAAGAAACATGTGACAGTTTTTAAAATCAGATTCCATCTTCTCTATGGATTCCATCCTACGAAACAGTTTAACAGAGGAACGCTTAACAGATTAGCCACTATGTTATCAGCAAAGTATGACCAAAGCTTCCCAGTAAATTACAAAAGTACTGTTTGCGTGGCATTCTGGCTTGAACTCACAATATTTCAGTTATGCCTGTGTATACTACTCCTAGAAAACAAAGGCAATTTTATCAGGATCATCTCAGCACTATCACAATGGCATTAATAATCTCCTCACCATCTTTGAAATCTCTGCAGGAACTAGGAAGAACTGTGTGGTTCCAACTATTACTCCTACATAGCTTTGTATTTCAATTCCTGGTCTGTATGGCTTCAGAGCTCCTCGGGATAAATCTACACTGCCAAATAAAATGGGGACACCCACACTGCTTCACACTCAGCCAACTCTTGAATTCCACTTCAAACTGCACCAGCTAGTGCTCACCAGAGGAGGGAGAAGATGGAATTCACAGTAAATCAAGCCTTTCCCTTTCCCTCTCCCAAGAGGATACAGATGACAGTACGTCAGCTATAACTTTTTCCTGTCACATCCAAGAGCTCATAACCACATGCCCTGAGTTTCAGTCTTTATCAACAGCCTTCACAAATTATTTCTGACACTTCAAATCGGAAAAGCACTCCAAAAATAGCAGCTTCCTAACGCCACAGGAGAGTGGGTTCCAACTTCTGGATAGCATCTGTGCCAAGTTAGTCCTAAAAATACTGATGTGAGCCAGTCCACACCAGCTGGCCCCAGGACCACAGATTAACCCTTGAGTGTTAGCCACAGCCTTGGAGACCTGCCCACTATCAATCATCCTTCAAGCAGTGGGTTACACGAGTAAAAGTATAAATGGGGAGCTGGAGAGCCGCCCTGCAGAAAGGGACCTGGGGGTGCTGGTCGGCAGCAGGCTCAGGGTGAGCCAGCAGTGAGCCCGGGCAGCCCAGGGGACAAACTGCACCCTGGGGTGCCTCAAACACAACCTGCCGGGCAAAAGAGGGGATGGTCCCGCTGGATTCAGCGCTGGTGCAGCCTCATCTGGAGAGTGCTGGGACCCACAGTTTCAGAAGGATGTGAAGGTCCTTGAATGTGCCCAGCGGAGGGGCAACCGAGCTGGTGACAGGGCTGGAATCACGTCCTGGGAGGAGCAGCTCAGGGCTTTGGGCTTGTCTAGTTTGGAGAAAAGGAGGCTGAGGGGCGACCTGGTTGCTCTCTGCAGCTCCCTGGGGAGGGGAAGGGCAGGGGGAGGTGCTGAGCTCTTCCCCCTGGGATCCTGTGACAGGACACGTGGGAATGGTTCAAAGCTGCACCAGCGGAGGTTCAGGCTGGACACCAGGAAGCATTTATTTACCAAGAGGGTTGTCAAACCCTGGCACAGGCCTCTTAGAAAGGTGGTCGGTGCCCAAACCTGCCAGTGCTTAAGAGGCATTCGGACAGTGCCCTTAACAACATGCTTTAACTTTTGGTCAGCCCTGAAGTCATCAGGCAGCTGGACTAGATAATCATTGTAGGTCCTTTCTAATTGAAATAATCTATTCTATTCTAAAAAAAAAAAAAACAAAAAAAAACAAACAAAAAAAAAAAAACAGATCTTGATTTTATTCTTGTCTAAGAAATGGCATAGAGAAGAACAACTGATTCACAGACCAACACATTAATCTTATCTTGGAAACTACAGGTGGGTTTCCAAGTTCAATCATGGCACATAAGGAAGCACACGTATTTCCTAAAAATCCCAACTACGACACACATCCCAGGTTGTTTCTACAGAAAAGGTACAATAGGAGAGAACAGACCAAAAATAACTTCAGAAATTGAGCCTTTGAACTAATGGAATCACACCTTATCCATGAAAACCTTGACTCGAAAGTCAATGGCAGAACTTTCAATGACTTCAACAGCTTCATGTTTCTACAGTTTTTTGAGAAAGACTTTATAATTTGGACAGTCCAGCAAAGAAAAATAAGAAGATTTAGAGACTAGATTTAGATTATTCTTTCTAAAGAAAACCAAAAATGGACTCCCTTCTAGAATGAAGGCCGAAATTAATAAACCCACTTTTCATAAACCAGTTAATGAATGTCAGCATCTAGCTGCCTACAATTTTAAATCATAGCCAGGAAACATGATCATAAAGCAAACCTGTGAACCTCTCATTTTACCATAACAAACAAATATGAAGGAAAGAAAACCCTCTTTGTTGCTATACTCTACAATCTTTACAAACACTTAGAAGTTTGATATTGGCCACTTTTTTACTTAGAAAATACTGAACATACATTGACACAAGTGCATGAAACCTGTTCAGTTCTACATAAAAGAAATTTCACTTTTGCTAAGAAATAGCAATTAGCCTCTGTTATCTGCTGTTAAACACTGAGGAAAGTCCCATTATTTCACACAAATAATATCTCAAAATCATATTCTGAGCTGTGAAACAATGACCGCTTAGAAGTTTAGGTACGTATACTTACTTCCAAGCCCCCAAACCAGCCTGCCAACGGTCTGCAAACATCAGTACTAAATTTAACACTTTCATTATAGCTTCTTTGACAAAGCTCACCTAAAATAGTAACAAAAGGAATAACAGTCAGAAATTCATTGTTAAGCATAATAATTTTCATTAAGCTGCAATACAAAGGTATCCCATGCCATTTAATCTGATTTCCATTTAATCTGATCTGTAAAAACAATCTCCCACGTACAATGTGATTCTTCCAAATTTAAGACGTGGTTTGCATTTTGCTGTCTAATTAATGCAATGGTTGACTATTTCAATGAGGACTAAGCACAGGCAGCACGAGGCATAAAAGGCTACAATGCTACCCGTGTACCCTCGTTTCCTGCCATACCAGTATGTATAATCCTCATTACGTTACCAAGCCACCGTTTGTTCAAATCCTCCCAACTCTTAGAAACAAATGAGTTATGTAAAAACCAATAGAAATCATTTATCTTCTCTCCTCGACAGAATTGCACTGAGACTTGCAAAGGAAACTTGATCTCAGTGTTAACTCTGGGAAAGCTACCATTTTCTCAGGAGTACCTATACAATGCTTAGCACGTATGAACTGCAAAAGAGACGGCATCGTTAGTACTAAACTATTTTCTCGTCCTGCTAAACTCAATATATCAAATATGCCAATTTTTTTTACCAACCTTTTCTCTCAGTAGGCAGCGATCATGGATTGTAGATAGGTATCTGTAATGAATCTTTATCAACTGATCTAAATCTTTGGCTTCTTCCACCTGATGCTGAAACTCCAAGCCCGTACTGTGAAGAATCTTGAAGAGAAGACCACAGTTATTAAACTCCATGCTGCACACAAGTGCTTATGACTCTCTTCCAGTATCTTTTTTTAAGAGCCTAAAATTGCCTGATTCATTCACTCCTCCCTCTCAAATTTTCGGTTCACGCTCCAAATTGGCATCAATGTAGCAAAAAATTTGAGCTCTTCTCATACTTGCATAATGATATTCCTCATATAAATAGGAATACTGTCATTGCACTAGGGCAGACAGACTACCCCTGGAGAAGGTGATCTGGAGTACATGTAATTTTATTCAAGGCAGAAAAAGGCAACAGTAGAAGAGAGATGAATCTACAGGCATTGCCTTTATATTTGAGTAGTCGTGTATACTTCTGGATCTGTGTATTAGAGATTTTTGAGAAGCCGCCATTTAATTAAAATGTCTGCAGTACCACTTTTATAAGCGTAATATCTCTTAAGAGATTAACAGCTCACAGAAACCTGTTTTTACATGATTGTGCTTCAGTCTTCTAACACTGGGTGAAACAGTCAAAAAGAACTAATAATATCCAGAGGTCAATCATGTGCATGTAAGAATTTCTAAAGCATTTTTAGGATTACCGGTTTAAAACTGCCGAGTTAAAACTGAAACACGTTTAGCTCAACATTGTTTTGCAGGAAGGACATCAGAGTAAGATTCTGCTTTTTCTTTTGGGGTTTTTATGTTTTAAATGAATACTGCATTTCCAGTTACACGTTCTTCATACAAATGAAATTGTGATATAAGACAAACCCTAGTCATGATGTAGTTGTGCAGGCTGTTAACAAAATGCATAAGTTTCACTCTTAAGAGGAACATGCGATGTATTTGTTGCTTTACACTTTTTGTTTGCGGTCCAAACAGAGGAAGTGTTCCTTGTTCTAACAAAGTTCCTTCCTTAACCTGTGGGTCTTCTGCAGTGCAGACTAATTCTAAAAAGAAAAGGCAAGAGAATTATATTGAAGTGCCTATGAAGACACACTGTAGCTAAAATGTTATTTCTTATTATTCTGCACATAATACTGATTTAAGATTTTTCTTGCAATTCAGATGTGTTACTAAAATACAGCAACAATATACTGAATGTTTTGACAGTATATGCACAATGCAATTTGATAAATACTGCAGTTAAACATTATATTAAAGGTGAACAAAATATCTACATTAAAAATAAATGTGTATACTATATCTCCACAAAGGGGAAAAGACTTAAGCACAAAGCCATACCCATAAAGTTTAAACAATAGAAAACTACATACTTTTAGGAAGAGAATTACCTAACTGATGTACAAAACACAGATGAACCCACCAACTTTCTATTTTTCTAGGACGTGAAGCGTGTATCCACTTTATATGGGACAGGAAGAGTATAAACATTAACCTGGTGAAGGAAACACTAAGAGATCTCCTTCTACAATCCCCAAATATTTAAACTGTAGCTCGGGATATATATATTCCTAACTATTTAGCTTACTGTTTCAATCTCAACTAGAGTATTTTTTCATCTTGTTTTCTTAACTTTTTTGCAAGGTATTACTCATAAAAACTTGGAGCACACATAAAGCATGGCATAAGGGTGCAGTAGACAGACCCTTCTTTCAACAGCAAGGTTTGAAGAAAGAAGTAACAAGTTTCCGGTATAATTAACTAGATGCGAATCAGAGACAAAGGGAATGCATGAATAAATAGTGTTGTCCCTGGGGCTGAAAAGAAGTGAGAAACATGCCCTGCTTAATATATCTAATTTGCGAATCTGACAGAGATTAATATTCTATAGAATGAAACAAAGTTGATTGGTTTATACTACTCATTGCAGAAAGCAGCAGACTATTTATATATCCTTAGACCACAGAACAAGTTTTTAGAGTATCTTCCATTGAAGAAGTTTCTTACCATCAAATCGTAAGACATCTAGGCTATACTTGGCCCACTTTATTTGCAGTAAGAGCAGAAAAACTTGGTTGTAAATTTTTTGGCACTCTGAGCTTATGACTATATCCACAGGCCAAGGAACCTAGGAAGAGGAGAGGGTAATCAAAACAGAAGATGTAAGTCATTTTAATACAACATTTCAACTCTGTTCTAGAATAAGAACTACAGCAATTTTAACTCACTACCTTGTAACTTAATGTCAAACCATCTAAGGTGTGGACAGGGAGTTTCTTTGCTGCATCAACACTTTCAAATGATATAGACAACCTAGGCAAGGAAACAAGTGATTTAATTGGTGATAATTTGTTTCAAATTAGTGATTAGCTTAATTACTTTTTTTATCTCTTATTGCTAAATACCAACTGTCCGATTTAATCTAGTGGACTTGGGTAAAAGAGATGACAGCTCAAAACTTCATTAAAACAGATTCGTGTAATGAGTACACAATAATTAGCATTGCACCATGCAAGTTAAATATATTAACATAGCTAAGTGTAAAAGAAACATAACTATATTTTGCAGGATTTTGCATTTTACCTTGAACTGTCCTCTGGATAGCGCTGCCCAACTGCTTCTTGAAGTTGAACATTTAAGAAAGCAACATTCTGCCAAGTTTCCTTTTCTCTAATTTTGTCAAAAATAGATGTATAGAAGTCATACATGGTATCTCCAGCTTCAAGTAAGAAAAAGTTTCTCATTGCCTGCAAGTATTCTACAAGCCTAAACAGGGAACAAACATATCGCATTTCCTCAGTCTTAACCACAAGTGAAATCTAAACACAACTGTTACAGAAATAAAAACCTGAAAAGCTCTTCACTACAAGAACTCAGTACTGAACACAAACTTAATGAAGTTCACAGTAATTTCTTTGCTTAGTCCTCAGAGAGACTGCACATACACTCAAATAAAACAAAATAACCAAGTCCTTTTTCCCCTGTAAGCTTGAACAGCCCCCCTAACTTAAATGGAAATGCTTATGGTATACAGCTATCTTACAGTCTGGGCAATTCTCAAATAGAGCTTAGAGTTATGGAAATTCTGTCCCTCTCCCTAAACAGAACTTAGGGAAGGAGATGCAATTTCAGGCAGAGTTCTGCCTAAGAAGAGACTTTAATACATAGTCCCAGAAAATCACGACATGGATTTTCCTTTCTGGATAAAGTAGGAAGAATAGTGCTGCTTCAACTCTCACAAGAACCGTGACTCTAAATACATTAAGTATTTCATACAGATTAAAAGTGTCACGACTTATGACCACTTGAAAAGTAAAAAGAATAGGCAATTTTACTCTAATATTAAACTACCGCATAATATTATTCTGTCTGATTTTAGAGTATCATAACTGAATATCATATTAAACAAATATATTCTGGCTTCCTAAAATTTTTCTTCTGGTTTCAAATGACAACACTATTAAAAATACCACTTGAAACAATCTCCTGTTGAACATCCACTGAAGACAAATGATAGCTCTGCTGTTGATTTAACTCAGACCAAGTTTTCACCCAGGATTCTATCACAGTAGATCCCCCTTTCCTCCTTAATGATTTTATTGCTGATTATCAAACTGGAGTAAAATCACAACATAAAATTCCTGCTTTTAGCATATGGCATACCACTGGTAATCAAAAAGAAAGCGTTAAGGAAAACCAAATCTACTTCCTTACCTATAATCCTTCTTTAAAGTTTGCATGAGATTACCACAGCATTCCAAGTATTGCTTGTATATGTGCGGATAAAGGCAAGACCTCAACGTTAGTTCAAAAGTCTGGCAGGTCACAGATTCTGAGGATCTATCCACACAAACATCCCCGCCAGTAAACTTCTCATGAAAGTCATTCTGTTCCAAATATAATCTTTAAAATAAAACAAACTACTTGGGGAATAAGGTTCATAATTCATACAATACATAAACCAAAAAATATTTTAATCAAAATTGGGTCCTCTGCTCTAAAATATATAGTGCAGAAGTAATAAAAGCTGCTTCATAAATGCAGTATCATGCCTCTTAAGTGATCCTTCATACTGCTTTTATATGACCAGGCATAAGAATATCAAAAAGAATGGCATATTGTAATCACATAATTGCTCAAGGAATTATTATGAAAAACAACATCAAGTTCAAACACTATACAGCTTAATAAACAAACTCATTATCATAGGAACTTTTAAAACTATATTGTGCACATACAGTCAGATGAATTGCCCAGGAAAGGAAAAATAAAATTAAAGGAACAAAGTAAAAATTTGAACAACAACAACAACAAAAAAAAAAAAAAAAAAAAAAAAAAAATCGGCAAAACACAACAAGAACAAAACAACAAACAAACAAAACAAAAAAAAACCCACCACACACACAGACAATTGGTTTGAGGCACCTTAAATATGGGGTCCCTATATATCATCTATAATATTATATCATGGGAAGGGAGTATATGCAGTCTACACTTGGTAAGTTTAATTATTTTGTCACAGAAAGGATCAAATTATTAGAAGAATTTGTAAAAAGCTACTCGCTAGCTGAATCCATCGTAAGAGGAAGCCCAGCTCACAGCAGCTATTGCCTTGATAGACTGGATGAGTCAGACATTTAATTGATCTATCAGTTTTGACAAACAGAATAGTCCCAATGAACAAGGGAAGTAATAGAGTCTTTATCTACTATTAATTATGACTTCTTTAAAACAAACTCTTCCTAGGACTGAAATGAAAATATGTGAATCACCAACTAGTATTTAAGAAAAAGATAAACAGCTATTTTCTTATTTGCAATCACAAAATAAGTAAGATTTTTAGAGTTTGTCTTTCCTGCTATCTTCCAAGACAGTTATAACCTCTATATGACTTCCCTCGTAACAAGGAGCGAAGAGTTTTTATGCAATTACCATGAATTTTGTAAGGCTTTTAAAGTTAAATTTAAGCACAGCACAACTGAACCTGCATTCTTCAAAGAATATCCTTGGTGCAAATCAAAATCATTGGGCACAAATTCCAAGCAAACACATTTAAAAGTTTAGATGTCACAACAGCATTCACTATTAAAACACTTATTTGCTAAAAGCCTGTTATGATAAAGACTACTCCCATTTTCTAGGCTAACAGATGTGAGTAGCAGATTCTTCACTGATTTTAGTTGTTTTTCTTCAACTCGGCACAAGGGTAGTGTTTGTTTAGCTTCTGTCACTGACTGTTGGTGCTCCTCTTTATTCTGTGTTTGTTTGTTTTCAGCAGCAGCAGCAACAAAAATTTGGTCTACCAAATGTCACCAGGCAGAACGCTGCTCTCAACAGCACAGCAGGAAGATAATTAATTTACCTGGCAAAATTAATAGCCAGCAGCGGGTCATGGACATCATCCAGTTCCAAGTGTCTTTCCGCTATAGTCTGCATCTTTATCAGGCTCTGCTTTGTGGCCTGCTGTTCTGTAATAATATCTGGAACAGACTCTTCCCCGTGCCGCAGGCGAGACTGCACCGATTCCAAGAACAGGGTATACAAGCTCTTTCGTTCAGCATCTAAATTGGGCAACGCATTCCACAGTAAGATTTTGTTCCAAGAGAAAACATCATCTAAACTAAAAGAGGAATTCCATAGTCCAACATTTACTTACTGCCTTTTTACATACTAAATTTAGGCCACTATTCAGGAAAAAAAAATACTTCTTTAAATAAGTATTGCTACAACAGCAGGGCTACTCCAGTGCCTAAGGTCAGGCATGTGTTCAAACTGATTGCTGAATGGGTGTCTGAAATATATTTGAGACCAAGAACTTCCTTCAAGTGCAAAGTCAGTTAATTCTTAGCACCTGAAACAACCCTTCAGTATTGACTAGAATAGACTATATTCTCACAAAGGAGGAAATAAATTATTTTGGAGACTCTCTGGTTTAACTATCTCTACCTCTACACATCAAGAAACAGCAAAACCAACAAACACGTTTTGTTTCTGGAAAAAAAAAAAAAAAAAAAAAAAAAAAAAAAATCAGCATTGGTTGCACTGTCCTAGTATGTTTTACAGTCATTCAAAGTAAATAACTTATATATCCAAATATCTTTCACCTAATTATTAGTAGGCTTTAAAAAAAAAAAAAAAAAAAGAAAAACGTTCCACATACTATCTCAGAATTATTCAACCACTCAGTAATGGAAAACAGCTTTTTTATTAGAACATACAAGCTGGTTTTGTTTGTCTCATAACAAAAAGAAAAAATGTTTTGCACACACATGGAAACAAGTTTAAGAAAAATTTAAAGCAATAAAAAGCCAAGGGAACACTCAATCTTTATCCACTTTGCTCTTCTGACTTGTTTGCATTAGAGGAGTGTTTTCAATCAGATCTGAAGTTACCAGCCATGATACGGACATTCAACACGGAGCATTCTATTATTCTAAAACCATGGAAACACTGCCACAACAAAATGCACCCACACTGTTCGACACCGCAAGCAATGACAGTCCGCACACTGACGTCTCACCTCTTGACGCGGCCTGCTGTGGAGAGCCATCTTTGCACTGAAGATTCTTCAACAGCTGCATGGACTTTCCAGCCATGATGATTTGCTTTAGCACCGGTTTCAGAAAAGAGACCATAGTGTGTTGCCTGCTTGAAGGGGCCTGATCACTGCCAGAACTGGCACTGGCATTATCGCTCATCTTCTCTTCATTCTCCATCTTCTCTGACACACTATATAACGTGTAGGTAGCATACCAAAAATCTCTGTGATTAACTGGAACATTTTTGTTTCTGTGAAGAAATAACAAGCTGCTTAGTATTTCCCTTTTCAAAAGATGAAACTCCATTGCTAGAAGACGCATATCATCTTTGATCTTTGCCTTTCTTTCAGAGTAGTCAAGAAACACTTTCAAAACTATATAAAATAAGGTCATTCACATCACAAACTAGCTAGACATTCTGGAAAGGATGGCAACTTTAGCTCACAGAGATAAAACGACTGTATAACCAAATAAACCCGCCAAACAAGGCAAAGAGAGTAATTATAATTAAATTTGCCCAGGAAGTTAACTGCTCACAGTGGCATGCATCCTTAATAACAAAATGATTAGTGATTGACTTGCAGATTTATTTAAAGCCCATAATGAAGCAAATACTACTGGGAAAGCTAAAAAATTCTAGAGTGGGTGCAACTCGATTCTTAGTTCACCTTTGGTTTTTTGTGTTGTTTACAACAGATAAACAGTTTGGTCTTTGAAGTCAGATGGAAAACAACCTAAATTAGATAATTAAAACGAAGCACAAATATAAACAGAAGTCGAAATCATGCCTGTTGGTAGCACTGAAAACACAACTACAGCACAGCATAAGGATATTAAAGATCTTAGCTACTAAGGTTTTTTATTACAGTACTACAGCTGTTCTCCTACTTCATGCTCACCCTGACCTGCCTTAATAGACAGAGATTCAATTAAGTTTGACAGACAGGGGGAAATGGATTTGTAATTACAAAACAAAATTCCAATTTCTATATTCACTTTCCACTTCAAACTGTCAAAAAAGGGACCAGCAAAATGTGGCACAGAATCAGAAGAAAAATTAACAGCTCAAATAATGTTTAGGATATGTACATATAATTCAAGACACCATATTAACCTGTACTACAAGTTGGAAGCAGTAATTTAATTCTAAATAGCATTTGATTTATAACACCTATAATTAGTAGAAGAATTAAAAAGTAAAGTTTGTAATTTCTGCAAACATCTTGGTTTTGAAAAATGACTAATTGCTTTTAAAAAAGTCAACACACTCAAAGTCAGACTGCTGACTATTTCTTATAGATGGAAAAAAGAAACCAATTGATTTCTGTTCCAGAACAATACGTGGTAGGGCTCCGTACCTAATGCAATTTCCCTAATGGGAAGTTTGAGACAAGTTACAAAAGTATGATTAAGAAATTAATTCTACTTCAGTAAAATAACAAACATGACAACCTACTTCTATTGTCACCTTTTACTTCCTAGGTTCTACAGCAGGTTTTATATTCATACTTGCAAAGCACTATGTGTGTCCAGTCTCAGCATCCCTACCTCTGAATGATAAACTCCTTTGCAGGATCAAACAAATTACCATGGACTATCCACTCGTCCACTGTCTGTAGGTATGGCCTCACAGTTTCAACCCAGAGAGAGAAGAGAAGGGATACCTGAATTTTAAAGGGGAGAAAATAAAAAAAAAAAAACCAAAAAAAAAGAACAGCTGAGTGTTTTTATACTAAGCACTAGAAGCAATACAGCAAAGCCTAACCTCTTAACTGTGCAATTATAGTTTGTAACATATACACAACTACACTTAAGGATTTTTAAACATAAAATATTAAACTAAGAATTAGAGCTTTAGTAGTTTTAACAGAAGCCTGCATTGTGCATGCTTCCCCTTGTTACTTCTGTCATCACACAGTTAGACCCAAACAGCAGTTTTAATTTTTTTCTCTCTTAAACATTAAGAGATAGTCATAAAACATTCTGTGGTTTTATAATATAGAAATCTGGAAAACAAAAGGACATAACAACACTTACTATATTTGCAGTAATATAATAATCAGCAAGTTACTGTAAAACCCCAAAACCCTACACTTCAGCATTAGCTGAATTGTGCAGCTGTAGAAATAGAAGGAAGGGAAGCCATTCCAAAGCTCCCTCTCGCATAACAGCTTCCTGGCCTATGATTCCCCACAGTTCTTCCCCTCAGTCCTAAAACCACACTGCTGCTGCTCTCCTCATAAATCTGAGTTCATCCAGGTTGAATGAACTCATGTCAGCAAACAGTAATGCCTTATGGTTATCAAGTTTGCCTTCAATCCTTGGTAGCTGAAAGCTAGCATACTCCATCACTGTAAAGAAATTCAGGTTATTAAATTTTCTAGCATGTCGTTCAATTAAGGAAGGAATGATTTCCTCTACCGTTTGCTCAGATGCTTCTCCAACACTGTCATATTCAAGAATAGCTTTGTAGAGAGTATTAAGAAGATGAGATGCTCGTACAACATTTCTAGTGTCAGGTGGCACTTCTGCTACTCCTGTGCTGAAAACTTTGTGAAGTACTTTCAGCTGTGCCAGTCTGGGAGACAACTTATCTATTACTATTGAAAGTGTGACTGTTTTATCTGGGGAAAAAAAAAAAAAAAAAAGACACTTATAAAGCTAACATCCAACAGAAGATCAAATTTTGTCAGTGTTATTGATGAGGTTTGAAAATGCAGCATGGCATCTTTCACAGTTTCAAAATGTATCTGCATAATGCTTTTCAGGTTTCCCCCTCAAAAATTTCCTTGTGTGTCCCCCTCTTGTAAAATTTCCCTTACACTGTACCTTTGTTGATTATACATTTTTCAATTTCAGTAAGTTCTTCTTTAAAGCTAATGAAATATTTATACAAGGCCCACATAAAAGCTTGGTAGGTTCTGAAGGGGGCTTCAGTAGTTTTTTTTGGAGTGGAAACTGTTCCATGCATTATGCTTTCTGGGCTGTGTCCCATCACTTCATCAATAAACTTCTGCAGTCTAAACACAACTTGACCATATGCCGCTATCTGCTCCAATACAGATCTCAGGCAATTCTAGAAAACAAACAAACAAACAAACAACTTTATAAAATACAAATTTCTATTAGATGTTTCTAAAAAGCCTACAAATTAAATCACGAGGTATTTCTAGGATTTAAAATATAATAAAATTCTGCCATCTCTACTGCTTCATCACATTCTCAGATATGGGAAAAACCCATTCAGTTTTATTAAGTCAGATGTTCTTAATTTAGTCAAAACACAATTTTGGAAATGTCATTTTTTCACAAGCAGTTTAATTTCCTACTCCCCAAAATGACATCTTCCCAATGACAGATATATTCAGCTGAGATTCAGAAACAACTTACATGGGTTAAATGAGTTACAATAATATCACTCCGCACAGCCACTTTTCCGTCATTCAGCTGAAATATAAAAAGTTTTTTCACTCCTGAAAGTAGCCTTGAAAAGAAACAAAAAGAGTAGTAAATTTTTGCCCCTTAATGGACTCATAATTATATAAATAATAAAAGAATTAGGTCTCCACTGTCTAAAAGTTTCTTTTATTCAAATAAAAAGGAACCAGAGATCAACTGCAATGCTATTGGTATTGTAAGCTGTTGCTAGAACAAAGAAAACACAGTAAACATCATCTAAAAGTTCCTTTCCAGCTGAGATAGTTCCCAGCTACAGGATGATTCAACCCTACTTTCTAAGTTTGGACATTGTATTAAAAATCCATAGGGGCAGGTTAAGAACAAGTTGGTTCCTCTTAACGGTCAGACTTGAAGAATCGATGCAGACAAGCAGCAGTAAGCTACTTACATTCTCTGTGAATGCGAGTGGATAACACACACAAGCAGCATCTTTACTGTCAGCAAGCTAAAAGCTCAGTAATAATTCTTTCTTCAGACAAGACTTCAAAGATAAATCTCTCATTTCCTTGAGAGAAATACTGAAAATTAAAACGCAAGCTTTGTGATGTTGCTCTTACCAAAGAGTTTCCCGTATAACCTGAGTTTCAGTGACTAGTGTTCTCTCTTCTGGCACATATAAAGGATCACTGGTGTACAAGTGGTGATCCCTTGGAAAAAAGGAAATGAAAACAATTTAATGGCTGAAGTAACAGCTGAATCACCTGAAAGTTAGAATGAAGCAATAACCTTAAGGCTCCGTTTTGTTCTAATTATATCTGAGTAGATTTAATGCTCACAGGGGCATTATAAGTATATAAACAAAAGCAGGTGTTGTTTTCATATTGCTAAGCAAAATACTAGGGAAAGTTTTGTTTTGGGGGCGGTTTGTTCGTTTGTTTGTTTGTTTTGTTTTGTTTTTTTAAATTATTGATCCTTGATTATTTTATTATTTCTCATTCAATGCTGTGAAAAATTAGTCACTTCCTGTTAAAAATACGCTAGGAAGTAAAATATAAATTTCCCTAACCTGTACAAGCAAACTCACATTTTAGCTCAAAAATTCACTTAAGAAATAGAAACTGTCAGAGCCACCTAAGAAATTTTTCTTATGATCATGTGTTACACAATCCTTTGTAAATCTCCACAGTATTTTTCATGTTTTAGCGAAGTCTAAAACAATTATTTGCATTCTTAATATTTTGACTCATTAATATCAGCAGCAGCAAAATCTGTGTAATCATGTTCAATATTCAAAAACCCAGTAATACTGGTTATATATCATAAATATATATAACACACATCTGCTAACAACACTGCCACAGAAACAGCATTGGCTTTATTTATGCTACTGATTTCCTAATAGTCGCTGCAAATTTTTGTTCGTAACTGGCTAGATAACCAACTGACACTACAATAAATTTAGCTCCTTGATTAAGAAATTAAATAAATGTAAGAACCAAAGACAAATCTAATGATCTGTATTAAAGTAGTAGCGATACATCAGATCTGGGACCGAAGGAAGAATCGGCCTTCCCCCCCCCATTTTAAATTGAACTTCCTTCCCATTTTCTTTCCAAAACCACAACAGATTGCGACACTGTACTGCTTTATGTTCCTTCCCCACCCAAAGTCTTTGTTCAAGACTAAGATTGTAATGGAGGCAGCAAAAAGAAACAAGAAGTTAAGCTTTAGGGAACTCCTCATTTCCAGGACCACTTACAACACGCCTGTATTAGTTCCTCAGAGACCTTCATCAGGGTCAACCCAAACAAAATGCAAGGATAACATTTCCTTCTTTGAAAAATTAAAACCCTCTTTCTGATGTAACAGGCACAGTAAAAACTAAATAATAGAATCTATTAATAGAAAAAGCAGTTCACTTGTTCAATTTATTAATTTGTAATCTTTTAATTCTGGTTTTAACTAAATCAGTAATAACTAAACTATCTTTATACTTCTACCATAAAGATGCTTAATGAAGTCATTATTTGGCACTATCTGCCAGCAAGGAGTATGGAAGTGATAGCATTTTCTTACCAGACTGCAGCTAGGTTGGAATGCAAGTGCAAACTATGGGAAAAGCGAGGAGCTCTTCCTGTCCAGTACTGAGGAACTACATGCTGCTCCAGCCAGCTGCGGGCATCAGGTTCACCAACTGTGAAAACACATAAATTTTATAAAATTTATAAAAATAAGTTTTTGTTTATTCAGGAAATGCTTATAAAACACAGGAAAAAGTTAGTAAAAAGCCTCAGCTGCAGAATCACAGATCTTTTCAAATAAGTTACAATTTACAACTATTTACAATTTACTGCACTCATACGATACCATCATGCACTAATTAATTTACATAGAAATGTCTCATTTCCTAAAAGTTGCAAAAGTCCTAAAAGGTAAATTTAATAAATTTACGCAGTTTCCAATTCTTCTTTGGAAAGTGTGCTTCTGTCCCAGGCTATTCTCAAATGACATATACAAAACCAAACTGACTTGAAAAATAAACTGCTAAATATCACCAACTTTGTCACTAGGTTCCTTTTTACCATGCATTTAGTGTATTACCTACACATTTTTTTCTCAAATGTGATTATCAAGAAAACTTTACCTAATCCCAGTGAGATAGCTACTGCTCATATAACATATGAATATTACGCAGTCTTAGACAAGGTATCCTGTATTCTACAATATTCTATTCAAAACTACACAGCTAGGGTTAATAATCCCTGAAGCTATTGAAAAGTAAGTCACTAGTGATTTAATTATACTTTTTTTTTTTTCCCCAAAAATGCTTCATACTCAGAACTGAGTCAAATGTTTTTGTCATCAACCAAACTTTGTTTCAGCATCCTGATACAAAAATAGAAATTTACATTATCTCTGTACAACCACATGCTACATTTACTGTATAAAATTTCATATCTCTGTTGGAATATCCATGTCTATTTCTACAGAAATAAACAGAAGCCTTGTACATCAGCATCAAGAGAAATCAGATCAAACCTTCCATACTGCTTCTTTATTGTTAAAAATAAAACAAACAGTAGCGAGCAATAAGTTGCACCTTAAAACTCCAATTATAAGCCTAAAACATAACATCTCACTAAAAAATCATAAATTAAGCCGCATTAGCTTGCTATATTTGAGTATGTATGACCATAGCAAAAGAATTATAGCTTTTTCTAACCTTTCCAGGAAACATTAGGTACTGTTTTCTTATTTGGGTCTTGGTCTTCTAAAGGTGTCCTGTCCACCTGAATACCCGAGTCCTCCCTGCTCAAAGGCTGAGTGTCTTCCTCCTCTTCACTTTCTGCAGACCAATCCTATGAAGTGCAACAAAACCCAGTACGTTTCATTACAACATAACAGACTGATGTATATTCACTTCCTATTGACCCGAGAAGCAGAACATAAACTCTTTTCTTCTTTCTGCCACTATAAAGTAAATTCAGGACACCAAGACTAACATAACCCAGTCTCTGGTGGACAGTGAAGCTATACATAACATTAATACCCAGACATATGAGAGAAGTGGACAAGATCACAGAACTACAAGAAGTTCTGATCAGGAGCAGGCAGGGGTCAGCAGAAAGAACCAGTTTAGTTGCAGAATTAAGTCAAAACATGGTGAAGAACAAAAGCATTTGTATTACTGTTACTCTGTTTGGCTCTGTGTGTATTTCTTGGTATTAAGTAAGAAGCAACATATCGGGTAATCCTGTGAGAATCATATAGAGCATACCAATACGGTCTCCAACGTACTTCAAACCAGTTTATACAGCTGGGTTTTTCACCTTAAAAAATTACTTACTGGTGTATCTACTCCTGGGCCAAAGTAAATTTCTTCTCCTTCCATCAAATACTTTCCCCAATCAAATTCTTCTTCCTTTTCTAAGAGAAGAAACATAAAAAGAGTTAGTATCATGTAACTCTGACTTCCTTTTCCTCTAAAAACACTTCCAAAGCTAAAATTATGTTGTAACACTAAATCTAAAACAAAGGCATTCCCTTCCACTTTAAGGTTCCACCACTGGTCCTTTAACAAGGTTGTACACTTTCAGACACATAAATTGTGACGTACTAACCACATACATTCCTTATTTATTAATTCTGTTGTTTATACATTCAGAATGTGCAACATAGTGTGCCATTCAGCACATTTACCTGTACTATGTTACACTACCCTATGCTTCAGTCCTGGAAAAACATGCAAGAATGTAACACATCACTTATTGTGACTAATCCCATTTAGCTCGGTGGAAACATTCTAAACGCATAATTTACAGATGCACAAGGATCCTGGACCGTAAACAACATAAAGCAGGAACTGTCTTACTCTCCAAAAAAGACACCAAATACCCATGATGTGATGTGACGTGTAATACTTTAAAAAATAACAATCACAATATATTATATCTTAAACATGAAGCTTACTCAACTGTAATTAGTGTTGTTTGAGATAACCTCTTCATATTCACATTCCTGGAATGGGCTGAAAGTGCATTCAAAACACCGCCGAGGGAATGTGCAGAGATCATTCAAAAAGGAATCTTAAGATGCAAGATTTTCTTTAGGTTAGTCTGAAATAGTCTTCTTTCAGTCTATGATACAACACTGTAAACAAATGGGGGATGGTATCCACTCAAACTTAAGCGCAAGCTTCTTTTTTAGGCACTGAGTGAAACAGTCCTACTTTAGACAGCAGGCAGCTGGGACCTCCCTCTGGAAACCTTCAAAGGTATCTCCCTTTCCTTGACTACACCGGGAACATCGTAATTTACATCACCAAAGCTGTTTCAACAGACCTCCTACTGAGGTGCAAGACAGACTGAGGATAGAAACCTGCTGTCTTCGAGCATGTAGCCGCAGCTGAACAGGTGGAGAATGTTAGTAAGTGATAACAGCAGCACAAGTCCAAGAGTTCTCAAGGTACTTTGGTGGCTGGAAAACTTAATTAGGTGATGTAATATAAATGGGGATAGGGAAGATTTGCAGGCTATTTTAAAGGTATAAATCATAAAAAGACAGCCAATAAAGCACTTTGAAGTGAAGGAGATAATGAAATGGAGAGGAAAAACGTCCTCCTTATCAGACTGCACTAATGAATCGCATCTTTTCTTAGCAAAATAAACATCTTGCAAACTTACCCACTTCTTTCACTCTTGGTTTTTCCACATAGTTGGTGTTGGATGGAGAATCAGACAAACACAACAGAAGAAACAGTATGGAATAGTGTGTATCTGTCTTTAAAACACATTAAAAAAAAGCAAGTCAGAAGGCAGACTAAAAGATTTTGGTTAGGAACAAACTCAGCATATTATCTGCAGGAATGCTCCACATTAGTTCCCATTCCTCAGTCCTGAACTACAAAAAGAACATCCGCAACTTGAACATTACACATTCTCTTTTGCCTCCTAATTAGCCAGTCAACATACATTTACTTCAAAAGTAGCCACAGCATAAGTTGCCTCTTACTGAGCTGACAATCTAAGAATATGGAAAAGAGGTAAGAAGTCTGAAGTACTGTGAAAGTAAGAAGTCACCAGAGGACATGGGATAACGGACAGCTACGTTAACGAGGATGAGGCAGAAGGACACAGGTAATGGGCCTGCAGGAAACCAAGGCTGTTCCTCTACTGGTACAGCTGATTATTTCCAACAGAGGCTAAAACAAATTTAGCTAAAACACTTTGCCAAAATCGCTACGTTTTAAGATCACATTCACATTATCTTTCCTCATCTGAAAATCTACACAAAGCATTAAGGATGTATCTTTTAACTCCAGTATTGCATTAATGTAGTTGTGAAACAGAGGCCTTCAGTCAGGTTAGAGTACTGTGCCAACACCGGTGTGCTGCAGAGACTTGTCTTATGGTCCGTTCCCTAATATCTGCTTACAGAATAACCATTTCTTACAAAAGTAAGATTTTTCTTTGGCCCGCTTCTAACTTTCAAGAGTTCTTCAGCAGACCATTTCATATCTAGACACATGGAGATTCTGCTATCTACATCCTATATGCCTTGACACATATATACACATGCTTACAAAGATGTTTAGAGATGAGATCCCCTTGGACTTAAAAAAATTCTCAAATTTCTGGTAAAGCAGTATCATACTCGTCTATATGGAATATAACATGTTCCTCCTGAACATTACTGACTCTACAAGAGTTTGCGAAAGAGCACCAGTAGGTTGTTGACAGAATCACGCATGTGAGATAGTGTTTCACTTACGAGTCATAAAACTGAGAAATACTTAATTTTTCCAGTTATGTGCCACTGCTAAAAACCTAAACGCAGTTTAACTTCACAAATCTGAGAGGATATCTATCTCCAGCTATACCCCAGCTGCATTTTCAAAAGGAAAAAGCCCCAAACAAACAAAAAAAAAACCAAACAAACAACCCCCCCCCCAGCTTTTACAAGTCTTAAGATACTTGCAACATTCAAGTATTAAGTGCCTGCTTGGGTTTTTGTTTTGGTTTGTTTTTTTAATTTTATTTGAAAATAAGCACAACTAAAGGTACTTTTAAGAAGAAATCTACAGAGTACAATATAATAACTGAAGCTGTTGAGGGTTATGTGATTTTCCCCACAAATTAGAAGAAACCTAAAGCAAAACCTAAAAAGGAAAGAAAGGTAAACGTCAGTTCAATGAGAAGTAAAAAAATCAAACTACAACTCAGAACACATAGCCCTACCAAAGAATATCATTATATGGAGCACCACCTCTTAAATCACAACCTTGAATTTCCCAAAGGCAGGAACTTCCAGTTTTCAAAGATTCAATTAATTATTAAGCTACCACACTGGAAAGTGCCTAAGTGAGACAACTTTTGCCATATCCATCCAGTCCATATCCTAAACTGAATTCATTCAAAGTGTATCAAAGGTGAAATATATACATAGTCTCAATAAGGAAGCTACAAGGCAGGAGCACTCCATTTGGAAATACTAAAATCAAGACATCCAGATACATTACTTAAGGTAAAAAAATCGGGCAAAGAGTAAGAACTGCTCAGTTAGCTGTTGTTTTAGAAGAGATGTGAATCTAGATTCACCTAGATTCTAGCTACAACATTTGTACAATGTTGACCATAAAACATCTTCTCTGCAATGAGACGTCCTTTAAGTCATGAAACTGCACATGCTGAAACCTTGACAAAACAATAAACACATTTCTAAAATAAATGGGGAAACTAAAGAATATAACCCTGAAAAATCCATGAACTGAAAAGCAACTGCAAGTCCCACTGCTAAGCCATCTGAAATTTCCAATACAACATTACAACTGAAATCCCGATTGTCAGTACAAATATAAGAGTGCTGGGAAAAAAAAAAAAAAGAACAAGGAAATTGCAACATACATACCTTTGTTTCTTCACTACTTGGGAGTGGCAAATTCAGAAATTTTTCTGTTAGTCTTTTCCAGCTTGCAGCTTTTCCAAGGTCAGAATGAACTATCAATTTTTCATGTATTCTAATAACAAAAATAGTATCAAGAATGCTTCAAAAAAAGTTACCTAATCCAGTATTAATCCATAAGCATTAAACTTACCCTTCTATTGTCCTCTCTACTTTGTGACTGTTCACATCAAGAAAACGGTGAAATCTGTGTAAGAAATCTGTATTAGAATGTGTTTAAAAACAAAGCTTAAGTAAGGGAGGAAACAAAGCTAACTTACATATATAAGGACAACATTATTAGCTTAATAATGCATGCTTAGTTCAGCAACAGCATTAAACATCAACAAAATTTAATCTCAGCATCTCTTAGCTCAAGAAGGATTAAATACAACTGACCTTAAAGAAGGAAAAACAGAATGCAGATTACATTTAACCATCATTTTAAACTGAATGGAAAATTACTACTCTATCAGCAAACTAAGCAATTAAAGTACACTGTCAGTTAAGTCAAGTGAAGTGAGGAGATCAGAACTGTATTGTCAAAGGTATCTGTGTTGAAAGAACAAAAATTATCTGGGACTTGCATCACAAGCACAGGCAAAACAAAGACCCACAAGGGAAGGCCTCTAAACCCAAATGAAGCTCCTTTATAAAGGAGAGTGCCTAAAAGAAAAAGAAAGCTTAATCAAAGTAAAGGAAGATATATCACCAAAGGCATCATGTATAGGGACAAAATAAGAACTCGTGCAAGGTAAGATGGACTTTGCAGAAGAAATTAGAATAAGGTTCTTCAGTTTACGCAGAGGAAAACCAGGGAATGGGATGCGACAGCAGTGAGCACAACGTCAATATACTCTATAAATAGGCCCTCAAAGCCAACCTAATATTTTGCCTCAGCTTCCAGCAACAACCATACAGAACACAGGGGTCAAACTCTCATGACCAGAGACAGAAACGAAAACTACTGGATATGAATCAGGAGCAGAAGTTAAGCTAAATAAACTAAATTTGGAAAGCCAATCTAAAATCACCTCAGTGTCAAAGTAACGAACTAGAAAATGAAACTGTAAGGCAAGTAGCAAGGATTTCTAGTAAGGATCACTGGGGGATGAAGATATGCCCATATAAAAGAAAAGAAAAATTTACTTTGTTAACTACAGACCCACTAGTTGGATTTCAACTGTATGTAAGGCTTTGGAATAAATGCACAATAAAATGTAACATTAACTAGGTCGCTGACATTTAGGTTAAAAAAAATACAGTTTATCTTATTTATTACAGCACATTAGCTTATATAGGAAATCATTAGTTCCAATGGAAAATGATGGTAAGAATGGGAAGATTTAGAACAACAGACTAGAAAGACAACAATATGAAAAAAAAACAGGAATCTGCACTGAAAAGATAAATTATGATGAAGGTAAGCTGTTAGTGAAATTCCTTAATATACTACTTAAATTTTTAATTAATGACACTAAAACACACATGCCAAAGAAGTATCAATTTTTTTTAGGCAAGTTGGGAACATCATGAACAGAAGAGGACTACCATGCTGCATGGAAATAGATGAATCTGAGAACAACAACACAGAAACATCATCAAAACTAACAGTACAAACCACGAGTTTCACAAACTTGAAACTAAAGAGAGTTTCTGCTACAACCTAGGGTCTCACGGTTTGGAAATATGATATTAGCCAATCTCAGGCTGATGTTCCCCACACATTTTTTAGACAGCAAATCTGGCATAAAACGATTCCTCTTCCTAACCCTTCCAGGCAAAACCAGTTCGTTGTCAACTCTGCATCACCCTGTTTTCCTGCCATGTTGTTTTGTTTTGGTTTTTTTTTTTTTTTTGTTTTTTTTAACAAACAAACAAACAAACAAACAAAAACCAAACCACCCAACAATTCCCCAGGCTAAAAGAGCAATGACTGCTACAAGCAACTAGTTTGATGCAGCTACAAAACCAATAAATGCAATCCTGTGATGCATTACACAAAGTATTTCTGGTAATTATAAAGAACACAGGGAGACAGCAGTTACCAATACCATATTCCTACATTCCCATCTAATACAACTAGCCTCCTCAAAATTGAGCAGAGTTCAAGTTGTCCAAACACCAGCTACAGATCACACTCTGCTCTTCCACACCTCAGACTCACCCTTGCTGTTGACCAAGGATTACTCAGTTATTAAAACATTTTTATTTGAGCCTAACAGTAGTTAGGATTCACAGTCTGACTTGATGCAATGCAGCTATGCTACTGTTCACCCCAAAAAAAATTGATTTGAACAGCATAAAAAAAAAAAAAAAGTAACTAGCATTGATTTCATATGGATTAGGTACTTGCTGCATGAAGTCAGGCAAGCACGTAAGACTGAAAAGGCAGCAGGTCATATTAGTATGGGAAACTGGAAAAAGATCATGTAAAAATTGGCAGCAGACACTGAAACGGTAACTCTGGTAACAGAAAAAGTAGCGTGTAATATTAGTAAGGGCATTGTAGATGGCAGTGTAATAGAATTAAAGGGATACTGGTAATATATGTTACATGTTAATAAAGACCATGTTTATGACAAGCTCCAATGGCATCAAACCCATTATCTTCTGCAGACTGATAACCTTTCATATAAGCAGCACAGTACTCTTGGCCCGAAGCTTTAGCTGGATTTGGCGGTTTTGCTTACTTGCTCTTTACACGTAACGATTACTTCTTTACTTCCCTCCCACAAGCAAAATCTTAGATGGCTAAATGAAGATGTTGGAAGCTACCTTCTCCCAGAGCGGGAGAAAAGCCCTAAAACACGGAGATTTAAAAGTGACGGAGCAACAAGCCGCCGGCCCTCTGACAGGGACTCGCAAAGGGCCCCCAGCGCTGCCCCCGACCCCCCTCAGGGCGGGCGGCGCCGGAGACGGCCCCGTCCCACAGCCCGGCAGCGCCCCCCCCCCCTCGCCTCACGGCTCCTTCGCCCGCTCCCCCGCCCTCAGCGCCGCTGCTGACGGGCACGGCGGGGCGGTCGCCGCCGCGGAGCTTCTCGGCGGGGCGGGGGCGGCGGGCGCTGACCTGAAGTTGGACCAAGCGAAATTCAGCGCCGTCTGGAAGCGGCCGCCGCCCAGCTCCTCCTCCTCCTCCTCAGGCAGGCCGGTCACACTGCGCACCAGCGCCCGGACGGCCCGGTCCTGCTCCTGCTCGAAGCGGCTGCGGCGGCCGGGCGAGGCCAGGAGCGGCGCCGCCATGGCCGCGGCGGCTTGGTGGGGGATGGGGCGCGGGTGGCGGAGAAGGGGCCGACGCCTGCGGGAGGCGCCACGGGGCCGCCAACGCTCCCCTCGGGCTTCTCGCGAGGCTTCTCCCGGACTTCTCGCGAGAGCCTCCGCCGGGATTGGGAGAGGAGGGCGGGGCGCGCGCATGCGCGGGAGGAAAAAAAAAATTGGGGGGGGGGGGGGTGGGATGGTGGGGCGCGACCCCTGAGTGGCAGTGGGGTCCCCCCACCTCCAAGCTGCAGACAAACCTCGCTTCTGCAACATTTTCCTGTCACGGAAATGTCACTTTGTCTCCGGAAACGCCCCCCTAAAGGCACGATCGCCCGGGATGAGCAATTCGCTCCTGGCAGCCATCCAGATAAGGGGCCTGGGGCTGGCTCGGCGGTGCAGATTGGGTTTTTAGGAAACCAAAATTCAATGCCCGCCTTGACAGGAGGACCAGAGGCCGGTTGGTTAGGGCGGGACGCTCTGTCGCTCTGAGGTTTTCCCAAGGCATCCGCGCTCGACATCACGCCGGCTGCTCTGCGACCCTTTCCAGCCGCCCTTGCTTAGTGCCTTAGTGCTTCAGAGACCCCCCCTCCCCTGCACCCTCCGGCCTGGCTGCCCTCCGTGCTCCCCCCTGACAGCCTCAGGATTTGCACAGCTGGATGAACCGCCATCCGTGGCTATTCAGTAGGCAGGACACGAGTGTGCGCATCGGGAGTGGCGTAAGAAACCAGTTTTGGTCCAATCTTTTTGCCGAGCAGCTTAAAATGCTCACGTCCCTCTGCGTGGTTTCCTAGGGCTGCAAGGACAACAGCCTGGCCGTGAGCGTCCTTTTAGAAAAAAATTAACCAAATCGATGGGAAATGTTACTATTGGCCAATTCCCGTAACAATCCCTGCTTTGCTGCAGTTGTCCTATCCTTTGCTGTTGCGTTTTGTCTTGCTTGATCTCATCAATAAATACTGGAATGAAATCCACCCCACCAAAATTTGTTATTCCTCTTCTCCATTAAAATATTTATGTTGGTTCAACAAAAGGAGTAGCCAATGGATCAGGAGGAGCAGTAGAAAAAAGGCCTCAGAAATGTCTTTTTTACGTTAAAATATATTTAATGTACCAACACCATGTGAAGGAATACGTAAAAATATAGTAGTATAATTTCATAATCCTAACAAAATAACATGGAAATTCTTATGGTGTTTTAAGAAACACTATTAATTTTTTTTTTTACCCGCATAGGCTAAATCTTACCTTAAGGTTCAGATGCAGAACTGCAAGAAGTGATGGCCTCCACGCACCTGCAGGCAGGATGCTCAGCCTGAACATGAGCTCCATGGCCTTATAAAGTTTTAACTTGCTAAGCATCCAAAGAAAAAGTATATAAAACTTGACCGGTCTTCCTGTATCTCCTCTAACATCGCATGCATTTCCTACTTTAGATTAGCATCAGCCTTTTTACTCTTTAGTTGATGTAGCTAAAGAGTGTTTTGAGCCACAATTTGTGATCCTAAATGTTAACTAAAGGTCTACACAGTCAGTAGACACTGCAGTGGTGTGTACAGTGGTAATTAATAGTTGGAATACTGTGAATGGCATTTTAAGAAAATTATTAGCTATTAAGGCTTCAAAGTGTTCTTTATACAATGTAACTGTGGTTATCACTCAACTCCTGGGTATTTAAGCATAGTTGTGCTGTTGCATTGACGGCTGTTCAGAGGGGAAGCTCCAGGCTTTGCAGCATGACAGGAGCATGCGTGTGTCACTTGTGCCCGTTGTGGCGTGAGGCACGTGGCAGCCACCCATTTCAGCACCCCTATCAGAATAAAAAAAAAAAAAAAAGGGGGTTTTCACAGCTAGAAGGATTTCAGATTTTAACGGCTGCCTCGTGACAAGCTTAGTACCATGAAACATGGTCTTTAATGGCAGCGCTGTCTGGAAGGTTTCCTGCTTCCTGGCTGCCCTGTACAAGACCATTTCCCCTCACACCACACCCTCAGCTGTGCTGTTTGTGGAGCAACGCAGTGAACGGAATCAGGGAATTGATCCAGGTTAAAAATACTCTTATTTCTGTTTTGACAGGAGTTTTAACCCTGATCAATTCACTGATCCATTCCTCTGGAGGGTCCAAGAAGTGAGGGAAGAACCACATACCTGAAAGCCCCCAGGCAATGAAAGTACACCCTCCTTGGCGGATGAATCAGAAATCTGTGGCAGGTTTTCAAAACAGGATACAAGGGCTGGGACAAATGTGTAACATCTGTGCTGCCTCAGTCATAAAAGGCTTTAATTCTACAAATCTTTTTTTTCTTTTTTTTTTCTTTTTTCTCTTATCATAAGCCTTATTTCTATTTTTGTTTTGCCAATTTACAGTAGCAAGGCTTAGTATTTGATTTCATCTAGGGGAGGGAGCACTGCGCAGAGGGAAGGCGCAAAGGCCCTTTCTAAAAGTAGACAAACTATTTATTTAATAAGATTTGAAGCTAGGAAGCTTAATAGTTTACTTTATATTTCTTGACTTTTGTGTGGTAAATGTCACTTCCCACCCAGCTGTTCTTCCAGGTCACACTGCTGTGAACGAGATGTATTTCAACTAAGATCTCCCTTGCTCATAGGATTAGGTAATATTTGGGAGATGTGTTCCTCTCTATAATGCCATACAAACACCTGTGTCTTGTCACATATTGGAGGAGGAATTACAATGCAAGTCTTTTGCTGAACTGTGTGTCCTTTAGAGAAATTTCTCTGAGCAGGTAATCTCTCCTCGGCTTCTCAACCCCAGCTGATGAGCCAATTTTTTAAGCAGGAGTCTAAGGCAGGAGAAGGAATGCAGGAGGTGAAACATGTCAGGCTGCAGCAGGCCATTAGACAAGCCAGCTACGTGAGGTTCATGCTTCATGCATGGGACTAGTCAGGTCTCCCATCACTTTCATCGGTCACCTCTGTTACCAGCAAAACATGGGATAAATTTCACATGACGAATGAACAGTGTGTTTAAAATACTGTGTTTAAAGAAGTACTTCAGATTTTAAGTTTTTTTCATTTTCAGTGTATCTATATGAATAATTATTTAATAATTAGCTGAAGGGGGTTACAGAAAACTGTTATTTATCATAAATATGTTGGGGCTATACTTCCCTTTAACACTAACTTTAGGATGTATGAGACTAATGTGAGTGCTGAGCTATCAATAAAGAGTGAGACCTGCCTTTACGGTCATGAAAAAATCAATCCAGGTGACTGAATGAATACCAGAGGAAGCTATAAGCTCATGATTTACACCAGAAGTTAAACAAAAATACCCCCGAAAAGCAACAGGAAGATGATATACCTGATCTTTATCCTTAACAGGAAAGAGGTAATCTGCTAACTTGCTACTACAATAGTTTTTGAAGTGCACCATAACTTCTTACTCTCAATTCTTCATCTGGTGGAGTTTCACAACTGACTATAACACAGGACAGATTTCAAAAACTGCTGAAACTGATTTTAAGTCTGCAATTTATAATGGTTTGTTCTACATGTTAGTTGGATTTATATTTAAATAAAAATTTCAGGGCCGCAGTTAAGAGTATCATTAATTGCAGATCCAACAGATTTTTGTGCAAGACTGATAAAGATTTGATGTAGTCCTAAAGGAAAAACAGGATAGAAGAATGCAGGTAGAGAAATTGTAAGGGTACCAAGCTGACTAAGTGAAAAGAAGACAGTGTGACAGTAGGAGTAATTTGTGGAATTTGCTATTGTATTAAACTCCCGCTTAAAAATTAGGATTTAATGTGCAGTTAAATTTCCACTCAAGGGTGTCATTTGTCTATTGAAACAGAGTGCATACTGCCAGTATTCCAATTACACCATTATAATCAGATTCAAGAAAGATCTTTGTACAGTTCTGATTCACCGAAAGCATTATTTTGACCACAGAGTGGAATATTAGATAAAATTCTGACTATGTGAAATTTTTTCTTACAGACCTTGGAGGGCAGGTTGGGTGAGCAGTCACCCTTCAGGTGTGCATATTGCTGAAACCTTACAGACTTGTAAAGTTTTCTTTATAAATCAAGAAAAACTGTACAAATATATATGACATGATGGGTGAATAAAGAGGTAGAAAGCAGATACTGGGCTTACTGGACACCTTAAGGGATGCAGCCAGCACATAGAAAAAAAAAATAAAACAAGAAGAGCTGGGCAGGAGACTTCAAAACCCCCCTTTTTTAAAAAACAAAGAACCAGCAAGAGATGTGTGATATTTACATAGTGTGGTACAGATTAAATAATATTGATATTGGGTAACAGACTGTGAGGTTCAGCTTACGTTTATGTGATCCATCCCATCGGAGCAGCAGTGGTGGCACTTGTGCTACTTTGTGCTGTTTGGTTTCATGGAAGGCTCGGTCACAAAACATGGAAATCATGTTGTATCCCAGGTCACTATCTCACTGTCAACAGCAAATTGTTAGAATATTGAGACATCTGTAGTGTTACTGAATAGTTACACTTCAACGGTCAGGCTGTATCTTAGTGAAACTGGATCCATGGAAAGCCTCTTTGCCAAAATAATGATGCTCTACTCTGAATTTTTACTGGGATATAATGCATTTTCCTTTGGTAATATAATTCTAAAAGGTGAGTGGGGTTGCCCTGAGCCCCAGGTTTTCTTACCTGGTTTTGGATTTGGCTGAGGAACCGTTCTTTGAATCCTCTGTGGGAACTGGGCTTCACCTTCATGAATGCTAGCAAGTGTTTCAGTTCGAGGAGCTTGTCATAGCCATTTATATTCTGATTCTACTTTCTTCACTTTTCCCACCCATTAAAGCCTTCAAACTTTCTTAGACAGTTTTACCATATGCTGCTTTTTCTTTTGCTAAAAAAAGTAGAGGCTTTCTTCTTTTATTGTACCCTTTCCAACTAAAAATATTTTGCTCTTCCAGAACTGTCGAGTTTTCTTTTCATTGTACATGCACTGGCTTAAGTTTCCACCCATGACAGATCCTTCTGGGAGCGTGTTGTTATTCTGTTCCTGTGTGCAGAAATGTTATAACTTGTGTAGAGGTACGGTTGCTTGGTTTTGTCAGCTGCAGTGATGTGCAATCA